CATGCTTTTTTTACTAGTTCCGGCCGGACCCGGAACTCTAAAAAATCGGGGTTCCGGCCGGAACTAACCGGCCGGAACCGAGTTCCGGTGCACCCCTACTGTGCTGTTTTCTAAGCCAGACTTCAAAGTCTATTTCCGTACAAGCCGCTAAGCTTAGGGTAAAATTATTATATTTAGGAGATACTGAGGATACCATTCGGAGAATTGATAGATTTGTGCAGTCTATAAATGTTCTTGGTTTGGATGTAGCAGAGGCAACAGCTCAAGAGCAAGGATGTGACCCTGGTTCTGACTTTGTCTTCCTTGATTTACAAAATCATACAAGTTATGCTACACATTATTACAGACAAAAACTTGAGGTAGTCTGCGTACCCAGTATTTATGTGTCTGTGTTGAATACCTATGATGATTATATTAGTTTTTTTAGAGAATACTTCATTTACTTATTCATTTCCTAGGTAGCTCTTATATTTCAATTTGTATTAACCAATGACAATTGGTTTGTTGGTCCAACTATTACAATATAATTAATATCTCTTAGAAGTGCTTACAGTACGTCATGCAATTTTCAATTCATCAAAACATTAGGTATATGCAATGTGGGATCCATGTGTGTCAAATATTCATTGTCTGACAGTGATGTGACGTAAGGTCTTATATAATGGCACATCTGCCTCCACAGGCTGTAATGAATTCCCTCATTTCCCACAGGTTGGGTATTGAAATTTTGGATTTTGAAAAGCCTGCAGAGATTGAGGTAGATGGCACATTAGGGCCATTTATTTGAGTAAAAATAAGCTGTGAATAACTTATATAAACAGTCAATTTGCAATAAGCTGCAGCTTGTTTACAGTAGGCCTACTGTAGCTTTCAACCCTAGGCTTATTTTAGCAGCTGAATGTGAACAAATTGACTGTTTATTGACTGGTTTGCTACTTAAAATAAAACTGCTGGCCCCGGAGTGAATAAATTGTTAGGTATGCATGCCCCTACCCATTGTGCAGTATGTGTTATCTGAAATGATATAATGAGTAATTACTTACAAGTATAGGTGTACATAATAAATTATTGGTAGAAACTCATAATAATTATATCAATTAAATACTATAATCACTGTCATTGATAATTTTAGTCTTGTATAGACATGACTGATGTTGAAGACCCACAATTCAGGTAACATACTGCATATTCCTAATTTTGAGCACATACATGTATACTATGTTTATACCAACTGAAAATGCTATATCCATGGTCATGATATTTTAGAAACAAAATCAAGCATTTTGTGGCATCAAAAGCAGACTTGATATTTAAGTTAAAAGGAAAGGAAAAACTGCGAAGTGGAATTGACTACAATATTGATGGAGCACAAGAGGGTATGGTGCTGTACTGTATTAAGTACTGTCTTTTGTCTAGTCAAAATATATTGAAGAAATACAGTTTTTAGTTCGATCTCAAAGTAAAACTACAGTACTGACATATCTATGGTAAAGGAAAATAGTTGGACCTTCTAGTACGTACACTGCAGTACATGTCAACACTCGAAATAAATCTGGTATTTCCGCGCTCCCATGTATTATTCTCTATATATGTATTGAGGTTAATCCATTAATCCCCAATATTTGATTGCTTGACAAGCAAAATGGTGTTCTCTAAGACAGACTTAATAAACAGTAGGATACAGTACATCATTGCAACTTAATGAGGAAATAAAAATTACTTGAAACTCTCAGAGAAAGGGCACAAAATTAATAGAAGTCTATCGTGTACACTTTCTGTAGTTAATGTGCACAAAATCTTCTACAGTGCCTAATATGTGGAACATACTTTGTTTTGGAAACCATATGAGATTGATTTTTGAGCTGTCAGTAACGTCACATACACATAATCTTTATGTAGCTTACAGTGTGTTTGCCACACAAGTCTTACCAATTGAAAATGGAATGCAGTTATCCAGTGTTGCAAGAAGAGCTCATATTTTTGAGGTACAGTCTACAGTGTAATCCAAAACCACTGTGAACAATACTAATTAAGGACGTACTACTGCCAATAGTACCATACAGTTATAGTATTTTGTTTGTTGCATTCTTTATAACAACCTTTTTTTTTTCTTTATCCCACTATAAGTTTCAAAGGTTTCTGTGAGTATTTTGTTTTAAAGAATGTCATGTGAATCGATCGATCCAAAATAAACCCGAACTAATGAATAAATTTCAAATTAAAATATTCTTTAAATTAATGATAGAACAAATTACTATAATTTAAATTTAATTACAGTGTAATCTTCACCATTTTATTTGATCAGGTATTGAAAGTGGGTGATATTATTCTTGGAAAGGTTGTTGGAAAACGTCCGTTTGGTGTGTTTGTTAGGATTCTTTCTCTTGTTCATGGACGGAATCTGGATTTTAACAATATTGATATTCAGGTTAATACAAACATTTCTTTAAAACACAGCACTTTGGCTATAGAGCCTCGCTTTCGTCATTTTGTACCTGGTGACTTCATTGTTTAATACTAAGAGTTATTATCGCAAGGAAAGCCCCTTGAACACGACGTGACGGGAAAATGATTGGGTATACATACACATCGGGCCACCCCGCGTTGTTTAAAGCGTTGATAACGTAATGAAAGGGCACTGTTTTCTCCTGGAATCAGCCCTTTAACGCTCGTGGCCTTGACGAGATTTGAAGAAATGAACGAATAAAGGAATACCGAATGGTTTTCCGTGCAGGATTGCGTGATCCATGCACGAGGGATGTTGCGGAACTTTCGGAAAGCGTAAAAATACTCGAGCCGCAGGCGAGTGTATTTTTACGCTTTCCGAAAGTCGAGCAACATCCCAAGTGCATGTATCACGCTATCCTGCTTGGAAAGCCATTTGCCGTGTTTGGTAATTGTTTTATAAAATAACTACAGTGAAACAATGCCATTTTGAGAATCCCGCGAAGGCATTTTAATTCTCGTGCACGGCTATTGACCAATCAAATTGCGTGTTTCGCTGTAGTTATAATTATATAATGAGCTTTTCTACTCTACCTCTTGGTCGCCTTAACTGCTCGAAACGTCGAGGTATTTGTTAATCTTTGTCTGGTTGTTAAAACGCAAACTACAACTGCGCAGGGTGGAACATTAGTGCTATACATTAAATGCAAAATATATTGTTAAACCCTGACAGGCATTATGTCCTAAATCGGAGTTAGAGAAAGATCACAAGTCACGTGAACATTTGGATCCAATAGACGATTTTGATGTTGATGACATTGTCCAAGGTTTGGCGATCTGTAACCAATCAAATATAGAACACTGTGTTTGAATGACCTTGCGTTTGCAATAAGAAGCGTGATCTCTCATTTTGCCAGGTGTGATTTGTTCCATATCAAAAGATGAAGAAAGGATTGCGATCTCTTTTCGTTCTGCTAAACTACCCTCAGAATATGGCAATATTGAACTGGTAAATTGTAAATGTAAACTTGTGTTCTCCCCCTTAGTGTGTGACCGCTCTGGGAAGTTCACGACAGTAAATTCTATCCTGGACACCCAT